AAATTTTATACAGGATTAAAAACTATGGAAACATAAAGATTAGAAGAAAAAGCGAGAAACAATAAAAATCAAGGAAAGAAGGCAAAAAGGAAGAAAATATCTAAAACCATTTCCGAACTGTTTTGCAGCAGCTACAAACATGATTACTACCATTTCCATGCTCCCAAATTACGTATCTTGGTTCCCTTCTTCCCATAAACAATCCTTTTTAATCAGTAAATCCTGAAACCATCAAATCATTTTTGTCTATTTTAGCAAAAAGTCCATAAAGAGTTTCTAGTCTTTTATCAAAATAACTGTTCCTTCCGTAATCAGAGAAGTCAACCTAACCATTTCAGCAAGTTTCTACCACCTTTCAAGTCTACTCCTCCATGTGGTATTTCTGTATTTTTCCACCTTTGTTTGTATAGTAGCCTCGCTGCAGTTACCATGCATAAAACCAATAGTCCATGAGTCTTTTCTAGTTGGCTATCCATAAGTCCTAGTAAAAAAAAAAAAAACACCTCTGGTTTCAACTGAAAATTAAGTTTTAAAATTCTCTGCATCGTTATATATATATTTGTATCCAGTATTTTTTTGCTTAACTTGATTTGAGGTGTCTTGATTTTAATTGCACTGATTTTATTCTTGGTTTTAGATTTTGCATTTTGTTTTCATAAGCTTTTGTTGAATGCTTACAAAAACAGGAAGGTGGAGTTCAAATTGGACAGTACTAATGGTATAGAAAGTTCCCATTTACTCCCAACTATGCCACAATCATACCCTAGCAGTAGTTAATTTCTTCCTTGTCCCCATGATATTGTTTTTTTATCCTGTCTATGAGTGAGAAGGCTTAAATCGCTCTTAGGTATACAGGTATTAAGTCTGTATTTTTCCCTTTTTCCAACACCACACAGAGAGAACCTCAGGGTGGTAAAATTAAGTTAGGCTTCATCCATTTTCTTGGAGAGAAATCAAGGTACTGACAATAACTGGGAACAGGGTAGAATGCAGATTGGGAATGGTTACAACCCATAAAATTATGATTATGGTATAGGCATTCCATAAATTCCTACCTAATTGTGTTTACTAATAGTGATTTTCTGTGTAGCTACTCAAAGGATGTTACTGGTTTCAATGCAACTTATCCCCAAGAAATCAGAGGACTGTGGTTTCATACACTTTACACAAGTAAGGAAATTTGCTCTGAGGATTCCAGTGATTTATATTAGTAATTCATGCAGGAAGTGTCAAGGGGAATGGTGAAGGTTTGCTCTCAAACCTACAGTAGATGATGTAACAAGCAACTACTTCTCCAGAGTAAATTCATCTGTATTTTAGAGCTTATGCTTCCATAGAGTGGCTTACTAGAATCTAAAGGACCCTCTTCAGCATCATTACAAAGGACTAATGACTTGACCCCCTGGTCCTCCTGTTCCAGCCATTTCCTCCTCATCCATAAAAAGCTGATGATGCAATGTTTTAGGTCTTAATAAGCTCAAGAAGTAACTCAGCAATGACAACAGTAGTCAGCAGAGTTTTCTTAAGACTGTCCAACCTTTGCGATATATCTTCTTGCTCAGCCCTGAGCAAGTCTCCAAAAGCACTGATAAGAGCAGCCTCACCCATATCAAACTTAGCCTCGTCCTGCATATTCGTCTTACTCCCTTGTCCTGGCTTAGCCAAGGACAAGCAGGGAATGGAGATACTATTAATGACAGGCTTAATGTTTGGCCGTCTGTGTGAATCAAAAGTGGCAGAGCGGAGCAAAAGAGTTACCCCTCCCAAAGCATGGCAAGAAAGGATTTTGTTTTAAGCAACATGTGTGGTCTAGTAGATTGCTTAAAAATCAGTAAAATTCATTTACTGCCGGACAAACCTGGAAGCCACACAGCCATACACAAATCTATTTGCCAATGGTGCCAGTGAAGAATCTATCCCCAAAAAGTTGAAATTGCTCTTCTGGAGACCCAGCTACTGGAGTTAAGGCTTTTCAAAGATATATGAAGAGCAACCTGATTTAACTGCAAGGAATAAATCAGCTTTGAGGAGATAACTACTTTGGGTACTTGCACACCTCCATCAGTAACCAGATTGACACCTTAATTGGCTTGTAATTTATTATTCTTTTGCCCTAAGTGGTGTCGCTTCACTAGATTGTCTCTTTGAGCTTCAACAATTTTGAGATCTTTGCACAAATCTCAAAATTGCTTAATAGGTCCAAAGTATTTTTAATGGAGGCTAATTGCTCAAACACTGAAATAACAGTTTGCACTGTAAGCAAACATTGTTTTGTCATGAATTCAGTCAAGCCACCTCATGTCAACAGCTTTTTCCAGTCCTTGCCCTGTGTAATCTTCTTTGTGAAGATCTTGTTGTACAACCTGATTTCTTCATAAATTGTGAAATGAAGAGAGAATGCTGTCTGCACATTTCTGTGATGTTGTTCTTTAGCATAGTCGTTGAAATGGATGAGGGTTGAATGCCATCATGCTTGGCTTCTCCAACAGTCAAATTCATATATGCCAACCTTCGAATGAATATTAAGTCATCCATTAGCTCACTTGGCTGGTTGGCTCAATACCAGTGAAATGGTTTTGGCCAGCTCTATACAATTTTAAAATTTTCTACTGGTCTAAATTTTATTTTGCTGGGTACATGCCATATAAGAATATTTATAGATGTTCACAATTGGTCTCAGTTTTGAAGCTTTCAAAACCATCAGGGATGCATACTATGTTAAAATATATGCTGTAAATTTACTTTTCTAGAGAAAGGTGTTTTCCAGAAAAGGATTCAAGAATCTGTCGCATTATTTTAAAGGTTCATTTTGTTTGGGGTGTGTTGGGGTAGCGCATACACCATGTTGTGGCGTTCCGTGTGCAATGCAACAAACAGCCCACAGTCTGTTGTAGCAAAACTATACACAGACCTTTACTGTACAATATTTACAAGCAGTCTACAGAACTTACAACTGTTCACCAATGCCCAGCACTCCAACACCCTGCCACAAACACCCATGATGCATTGGGCTATATGCCTTGGCTTGTCCTGTGTCATGTACCTACCACACCCCACACGTATGAGCACTTGGTACCCTGAGCTTGCAGAGTTGATGATGTGGGCAGCTCAGCTGTGCTGTCATTCCCATTCACAAAAAAAAACCCCAAAAATTCCTACTCCAGGGTATACCCTGGGCAGGGTGGGGGAGGAAGAATGTACACATTAAATAGGACAGCAGGAAATGTGCAGTTTTGACATTTAAAAATATTTCAATAATATAACAGTATTATTTTGGCATGCTAGAAAACATAGCATTCTATCTCTAAATGATTACACTCCTACAAGATATTTCTAATCCTGGGCAAGGTCAAGGAGCTCTCCAAAATACTGTGTATTATCACACAAATATTCTGTTTTGGAATAAGCAACTCAAAGTGGAGGAAAAGTGTAATAAGGAAAATTAAAGGCAGGAGATAAGGGGGGGAGGAAACTTAACTACATTCTAGTGTACATCAACATCAGTAGACCTTCCTTTCAAACCATCCTTGTTTCTGTCATGTCCACACACTGGTTCATATATTGCTATAGTCTCCTAAGAGTGTGAGTGACAGTGCTGTCCCCAAGGATTGCTTTCAGTGGGATGAGTTGCTGCTGTAGAGTAAGGAGCAACCAGGTTTGTTCTGTTGGATTTTGTGAGTAGGAATGGCAGGATTTGCAGTGAGCTCTGATATAACACCAGCGCTTAACACCTTCTGGAAGTCACTGATGAAGATAGTTGTAACTGGCTGTCATAATCGCAACAGTTGCTGCTGTGACAGTGAGGTTCACCAAACTGAGATGGAAAGTCTAGGGAGTGGGTGACTAAGGAGTCCACAAAATAGCCAAAACGGTTCCCCCATCAAAGTACAAGCAGGAGAAAGCAAAGAGTAACTTGTAGAGCTTGCAGCAACTCCCCCCCTCCCACAAAAGCCTCCTCATGTTGTTTAAGAGTTTTGTGTTCTGTTCTTTTATAAAGGAAACCTGTCTTCTTTTTTCTTTGAATTTGGGTCTCTCTGGTCCTAGTAGAATATCTTAACTGCTATGCTACACTGTCAAGTCTCCTTCAGATTGTGCTTAACTTCTGGTGATTTCATGGATATATCCATTCAGCACTCTTAGCAACAGAACAGAAGTGGTTTGACATTGGTGGCACATAATCAATGGATCAACCCATCTCCTAGATTCATTTTAACTTACAGCCCTGGGATTCTGAGCTATTGGAGAGAAATTGGAATGAAGTCCCAGAAGGAGGAGGTGTAGATAAGCATAGCTTGTTTGTCTTACAAATGTAGTTTATTTTCTGAGAAGGGTTGAGTGCATCAAACCATGCTGCATTTGACTGAAAGTTGAACCAAATTTGAATATTGCAGAGCAGAGAATAAAGGGACATTACACACATGAGGACTTCTTGCCAAGTGACTGGGTAGAGAATTTAAGGGCATCTTACCAGCTTCAATACTCTTCTAATATACCCTTCTATTTAGCCTAAAATCCTTTAGCACATATTT